TTTTTGTGGAAGAAGCGCGACAGAGGATGGAATGTTCGGTGTGAAACAATCGGCCATGGTTCAAAAGCAAGGCTCAGGTGGTTCCTGCAAAAGACCTGTTTTCCTGGTACCTCTCAGTCTCAGACGGGGGTATAAGTATACCATCGATCCAGATTTGCCTTTGATGGTTATAGTTGCCTTTGAGGCCTGGACCCCAATCGGGCAAGAGGCACGTGGCAGAAGAGGGTGCACTGGCAAAGAGACACCTGAAAGTGGACAAAACAAGCATCAATAAACACATACTGATACCCTCTGTGAGAGACAGTCGTGTACTTAGAGTCGTCTACAAAGTCTGGAATCGTATGGGGGTGAACCTTTATCTTCCAGTCGTGTGGCAGTTGGACAGTCGTTTGGCATTTGCAACATGTAACCGGTGTGTTCCTTCAGGTGCCCCCACGCCCACCCCCACTAAACCCCACGGATGCGAGCGCTCACCCGCGAGGCAGGTGGCACTTCACCGGGTCGATGTCTATGGACCTCATGAAGAGCCCTGCGCCACCCGGCGAAGCGTTGGGTTCAGCGAAGGGAGAAAGCAAAGCGGGAACAGCTGCCACCGTCGGTCTTGGGGGCGACTTCCTTCCTATCTTCCTTCCTTCCAAAGGTCCAGATAGGTCCAGGGGGACTTCCAAAGCGTCGAGGGTTGGGGGAAGTGAATGCCTCGAGGGTTGGTGGATGCCTCGCTCCCGGGTGATGCTTCCTTTGGGGAAAGGAATGGGTTCAGGGCCAAAGGTGAGTCGCTTAAAGCATCAGTTGACTGGTTGATTCACACCTTAGCCAATCAGAGTTTCAGTAAGTGAGTGATGATGATTCCCTATACCAACAGTTCCATTTGGGGCAGCTTTAAAAAAATGCCAACTGAGCGAATGTGGGAGACACACCGGAAGGGGTCGAGCCCAAGTGGGGCTGGTTTAGCTGCATGAAACTGCTGGTAATTAGGTGTTCTTCATGAGAATGTTCTGGTCAAGAGCACTGAATCAATCAGCATAGCAATTGCAATCCCTATGGATCCACTACTTTGATGTAGCCGAAGTGACAATCCCTACGTACCTTCGCAATCCTTCGGGTATGTGGATCCCTAGGCCTAGGCAATGTAAAACCATGTAAAACCCCTTCAGGCCAGGGGGTTGAAAAGATTAAGAGTCTACATCAGGTATCACTGGGACCATCGGTCTGACCATCCGGCTAATTATTGACACATATGCTGAGGCTTGGATCTTACCTGGTGCTGGTCCAGGGTTGCTTGGATACCACTTCAGATGGGGTGATCAAGGTGTGTGATGCGATTAGTAAGAATTACAATGCCACTCGAAAGTGCGAATTTGCGGAAGAAGAGTTGCATGTGTACTGTGTACTAATATGCTATAGACAACGGGAAGTCCGCATGAATTCCGCCACATTTGACAGTTGGTGATCTACAAACTCCCTGGAGAACCTGGGAACTGGATACACGTGGGAACTTGTATCAGAAGATGAACTGGGAGCACCTGGAAACTCTTGCTATGTAGCTGTCTTTTGAGATGAAGCAACGAGATGGAGCTGTCCCAAGGATCCCCCCCAAACTCTTTGGGATTTGTTCCAACTCGGTGAGCCGTACAGTCTGCACACTACCGCCTACTCCTGCTCGGTCACCGGAGCAGAACGAGTGGCAGGGGTTCATGAGGTCGATGGTCTGGGTCCTGGGGTCCGCTGGTGCCAGGGTCTCAGGTGGGTTTGAGATGGGTGCGTAAGTAGAATTGGGAGACCCCTCAAAGACCTCCTGGAAGGACAAAAACACTTCCAAGTGAGACTTCCCACTGAAACCCTTGCATCCACCGAACATTTCCAGGGTTTTGTGCTTGCGGATCTCACACCAGAGAGGAGGTTGGAGATCTCACACCATGTCGAAACCGCTTCATTTTTGCTTTATCGTACACCCCCAATAATAGGTGGAAGGTCTACCTCATAAATACCGATCTTACCTACCTTTCATTGTATTACCTTTCCATGTTTACCAATATGGTACCCCCCCAATAATTCTGACGTCTACATCATAAATACGGTTCTTACTGTATATACCTTTCAAACATGTTGTTCTATCTCTACTCCTAGAATCACCACCTCTTCCGCCGGAGCGAGGACCTTCTTCGTCTACTACAGTCCCTTAGACTCGGCTCGGCTCCTTGGATTTCCCCGGAGCCATCGGGGAGCCATGTGGACTTGCCCCCCCCCCTTACTGAGCCTCAAGAGAGTTCACTATGTGCGAAAGAGATTACTTGGAACCCCTAGGAACCTCCTTGAGGTTTCTCGTTTCAAGAGTGTTTTTTGGGCGCATTTGAAGGTCTCAATTTCGGTGACCTGTTTTTGAGGGTGGTCTCCAATCTACCCATTCAATTTGCCGATCTCTTCACTCATTTCTCCAGTTCCAAATCGAGAACTGTGCAACACCGTGGGTGCACCTGGAATGGAGACACACGTCAGAAGTCCACGAACACTGGACACAACACGAACTCGGGATCTCAGCAGGTGGAGATCGGTTCAGGGCGCCCTGAGCCGGCCATGACGGTCTACACCAGAGGCTCAGAGGCGCCTCCTCTGAATGTGGGCACCGGCGGGTTGGAAGCGCCTCCGTCTTTGGTGCCAGAAAGTGGTCTGGGGAGGAAATCTTCATGCAAAGACTCCATGTTTGGACGAAATTCACAGGGGATGAGTGGAGGGACGAGGCCAAGCGAGATCGTACGGCGTTTCAGAAGTCCAACGACTCAGGTCCTGTTGGAGTCACGGAATCCCTGAATTACACTCACTCCGACTCACTGAAGCGGAACAGAGGTCACTGGAAGACTTGCATCTCAGTGAATCGGAGCATGACTGCAGGGAGCAAGTCCTGTGAGTGTAAGACTTCCATCATTGTGAGACTTCAGCTTGCAGGATGGACGATCCATGAAAAGAACATGTTCAAGCGACTTTTGGGGCTTGACAAACCGGTCACGATCCACTGGTGAAGATCCAATTCTACCTCCATATACCTCCATAATCCTTCCTAGATATATCAAAGATATCCATAGAATTCCATATATACCTGCAACCTAAGAAGGATGCGAAATCACAGTCCTGATCAGAAAGGCTGTCTTTGATACAGAAAGATGATCTTTTATGGGTCAGGGGCGTATTCTGTGATAGGGGCGTACTTTTAAGGACTTGGGTGAACTTAGGTTTCCAACCTTGCAAACCCAAGGCCACACCCTTTCCTATCAACATTCCTCTGGCGTTCTGCAGCCTTTTTCACAAACTCTGAGAGCTCCGGAACCCTCTGGCGGCCGGAGGTTGGGAGCCTCAGCATCGATCCAGGAAGGGATCAGGGTGAAAGTTGAGAGTCGGTAGACTCATGCTTGAGATGGGATAAAAATTCCTATCTGAGGTGTGGCTAGGAAACATTGTTTTTTCCCACACCATCTACTTGTCAAGATCTGACATTATGTAAGTGTGCATTCTACAACTGGAGGTTATACCATCACTGCATATACCATCACCACACATGATATCTCATCAGGCAAGCCCTGTTTCAATAAGAGGTTAATATCCTTATGTGACTTATGTATCCTCCCTCTTTTGCTGCTGCCTCGCAAACCTTAATTTTAACATTTTGGGCTCAGGGTAGCGGAAGCACACTCAAGGTAGAAGGGTCTAGCGGGTCTAGCAAGCATGCCGGGAGAACCAGTGGCAAAAGGGCTGGCCAAGGATTGGGAAGAGTTGAAGCCGGTAAGGGACTTGCTCCTAAACACTGGCCGCCTGATACAGCCGGATCCTTCGATTGGCCAAATCTCTGACACAGTGGAATGCGTGGCAATCAATGCACCAGTCCTGGAGCCCCTCATGCCCAGGCTTTGGGTGGAGACAGAACCAAACCATGGGTACGTTGATATTGTCACTATTCCATCGATTGAAGTTGAGCTTCTTGCATTCGATTTACTTTGCATGTTTTAGCTTCCAATTCTTTTTATATAGATGGGGTTTTGAACAGCTCTATTTTGAAAAACCACTAATTAATTAGGTTTCTTAGTGTTTCCTCCAATCATGCTCAGGTTGAAGAACATCCGCAAGGCTTTGGAATGCTCTGCTTCGGCTTTTGGGGAAAATGTCATCAAGAAGGAAGCTTGGTTCATCAGGAAGGCTTCAGTTTTGATCAAGAAGAAAATCTCCCGCCGCCAGTATCCTCGCAATCGAGACTTTGTCCATTTGATGTCTTTGGTGGCGGGGAGTTTGGACGGTGCTGCCGATGATGCTGCTTCGGAGGACATGTGGGGGGAGAGCTGAATTTGCATGTTCTGAACAGTGTTTTTTCCCCACCTTGTTGTCAAACACACCAAATCATCAAGCAACCACAGGCTGCAAGTCTGATGCGCAGGAGGCAGGGCAAGGAAAATCAGATCCTGACAATAGTCCAGCTGATGATGATGGTGCAAATGATGATGAACTTCACCATGGTCCATGTGGTCTACCTGACACTCTTCAAGTGGTGCTTGACAGTGATGTCGAGATGGAAGAAGCACCTTCTGAGATTGTGGCGCCTGCTGAGATGCCCCAAGATCCCCAAGCTCTTGCCAATGAAGGGCATGAAGGGTCAAATGATCGCCCCAGTTCTGGCAAGGATGAACATGAGATGGTGGCCTTGCCGGTTCCTCCTTTCGACATGGATGAGAAAAGTGAGCTGGTCGATGGCAATGAGAGTGCGCCTTCCAAAGGCACTAGCCATGACCAAGTTGACTCAACCATTGAGCAAGCTCTTCCAGCGGGCGATGGAGATGATCCCAATAATGCTTGCGCTGCAAGACTTGCCAGAGGCAAATCTCATCTTGATATCTTGATTCCTGACTCACAGTTCCTTTTTGGTGAAGGTGATATGGTTGATGGTCCAGGAGATGCTGAGGAGTTCATTGCTGAGGACAAAAAGCTCCCCTATGTCGAGTCTGGAGGTTCCAAGCCCATCATCAGCGATGGAGATCTGGCCAGTATGGAGCGTGAACTTTCCCTCCTCCTCCAAGAGGAGAAGGCATTGATTTTTGGCTCCAAGTGATTTATATATTTTTTTGGAGAGGATTGTTGTTTTTGTTTTTAAGGATTTAGGGTGGTTTTGACAAGTCCGAATGCGATTGACCCAATGCCACCGCCTAGGAAGTGCAAGCGGATGATGCGAATCCCAGACAAAACTATCCTGATTGAGGATTCGTTGCCCTATGGGATGGACACCAGTGACACCCTCAACCTCCCAGAGTCTGAGATGCAAACCTTGATGAATAAATTCAAGGAGGACCCTGGTGATTTGGTGCAAAAGTTCGCAACACCACCAGCTCCGAAGTTTAAACCAGTCGCTTTTGTTTTTGTTGTTGCTGCTATACAAAATCAATGAACTTAACTAAGAATGTGTTTTGGGGAGCCTTCGGCAGCACCCCATTGCCCAGGTTACACGGCGGCAACAATTTGGAGTTCGCAATGATCCCGAGCTTCAAGATGAGGAGGAGCAGACAGGGGGGGAAGAAGAAGGGCAAGGGCAAAGGGAGAGGCAAAGGTAGGGGCAAAGGAAAAGGCAAAGGTAGGGGCAAGACGCAGAAGGGAAAGAAGAAGCAACAGGCAAAGCAAAAGAAAGTCACTGGCAAAGGCAAGCAAGATGGAACAGATGGAAAAGAGAAGGCTGCTAAGCCAAGAGGAGGTGGTTCCCGGAAGAAACCGGAGGATGGCGACATCCTTGAAAAGGAGGAGGAAACCCCAGATGCTCCACCCAAGCCTTCAGAGGAATCTTCTGCTCGAACTCAGGATTTGCCGGATGGGGAAACTCAGACAGGCAATGAGTCCCAGTCGAGGCCAGCAAAGGCTAAGCGAGTTCAGGAAACAAATGCACCCAAAGCGAAGAAACCCAAGATCAATGAGGCTCGCCCAAAGACATCTTTGCCTTCTGTAGAGGCAAATGGTGCAACTGGGTCTTCCAAGAAAGTGGAAGCCGATGAGACCAATCTGGGCAAGAAAACACGGAAGAGGACCAGGCAGCCTGCCAAGACTGCTGAAGCTGTGGCTGGGGCGGGTTTGGTGGGCGAGCGGCAGAAAGCATCAGGAGAGGAAAAGGTCGGTGTGCCAGCTGGAAATGGCACAGGAGGTAGCAATGATGGAATGGATGGGAATGAGAAGGGGGAGGTTAGCAGGAAATGCAAGAGGGATTCAGCGCCAGGGACAGAGAAAACCAACCAAACCTGGGCGAGGCGCAGGCGCCCAAAGACTTCACAAGGGGCTCTCAAATGGGACACCTTGAGGCATGTCTTTTTGTCGGAGATCAAGCCAGTGCTGGCAGCTACATCGGCTCCGTGTTCAATGCATGAGGACCAGTTTGCAAAAACAAAGAAGTGAGGTTGAGAGGACACAAACATGATTGAATCACCCAATTGCCAATTCCTAATTCCTAAAACTGTTGGGAGGTCAGCCATGGACAAAATACATCCAATCTGGTGTTGATGCAGTGTGTTTCTTTTGGCAACTATGAATATTGTTGCTTTGTTTGGAGCCTGCCCTCCATTCAGGACTTGTTCTGGACATTTTGCACCAAGCGATGGGCCGACCAAGATATCAACGAGGCCACTATATCCGCAGCTGCTCATGAGTGTGCGAATGTGTACTTAGCGGATCTTCAAGCAAGCTAAAGGTCAATCGTTGCCTTTACTGCTAGAGCCAGCTGGCAATACCCATATGTGATCATATGTGATGTATAAGCTAGAGCATGTTTTGCATGCACATTGGATTAAAGGCTATGGCATTGATCTCCCAGTGTGATGAATTTGCAAATAACTAAAACCGGTCTTTTGGTACATGCCTGCGATACTGCACAGGTGGGAAGCTGAGCTCATTTTGATCCTTCCTGGGACTAACAACGTCTCAGCAAATTCTGGGTCAAGGATTGATGGAAGCCTTTGCCAGTCTTAGGTGAGGTGTGGGAGTCTCCAAATTGAAAACCCTTCCAAACCAAAACCAAACAATATATCAATCTTCTCTCCATCGTTTGGACCTGTTCCCAGTGTCCCCCACATAAGACATACCTCACGTGGCTGGGGGCTGCCAGCCACCAATCCGATCTTGGGGACAATTTGGAAGAAAAGAACAAAGTTGATTTCATTCTCCTCCCATCTTGCCCTCTCCCAGCTGGGCTTCGCACCCTTTGAGCTTCAACCTCGTGCCCCTCATGCGCCCGTCTAAGGTCCTCACATGGCGGCCAGAGGGCAAGGGTGGAAGCGCCGCCTTTTCGACCAGGATGGTGATGGTGCTCGTACACCCCACTTGTTTACGCAAATCAATGCTTGCATTTTTGTCTTATTTGGATCTCATTGATGTCATTGCTGAATCACCTATCCAAATACTGGAAGACTCTGGGACTCTCAAGGATTAATGGCTAAGCCTTGGCTTGGATGTTTTTCCAGCATGCATCTAAATTTATCCTGCAATCCATGAGCAGAACCTCTTGCCTTTGCCTTTCACGTTGCCATATTAGGTGGGTTCACTTTTTGGGTTGAAGTTGTAGACTTGTAGACTCATGGCTGTGGGGCTTGAAACGCCCACGAAGCTGGATCTTGTGCTGAAGCGTTTGCACTCCCTGGGTGCACCCAAGGCCTAGCACTTTATTGGGATGTCAGTCGCACTTCTTACATCGTGAATACTGCAAATATCTTCGGAAAAGTGGTCCAGCCTAGAATCCCACAAAGGCTTTGCAAAGTAGTATAGTCGAATGAAGATTGGTCAGGTGTTGAGCGCCTGCATTCTCTTGCTGGCCCACTTGGACAATGTGGCAGTTTTCACTGAAGTGTCATGGCGGAAAGGTGATGCAGTCGTGGAATTGTGGAACTCTCGTGTTTCAAGTCATGCCTCTAAGCATGCGTGCATTCAATAACCACTCCTGGTTGAAAGGGAATGGCATTCAATCAATGTTTCTGCGACTACCCAAAAGTCCAAGTCTAAGGCTTATTCTTTTGTGGAACTATTCTGCGGAGAAGCTTGGGTGTCCCGTGTCATGCGGGCGAGTGGCCATCCAACTGCTAGCCTTGACATACGCTTTGGCGATCCTGCTCCGGGCAAGCAGGATTGTTATGACTTGTTGACTGACGCTGGGTTCACGTGGCTTGGTTGCTGAACCTCCCCTTCTACCATCATTAATTTATTTGGGTTGTTGTTTTGTTTGGATCTTTGTGGGAATGGGAAGACTGGTTCGCAATTCAAAGACTTGCACCACCCCAAAAAACTATCTTTTTGGATGGCATGTAGAACAAAAACAGCACTGCTTCTGTGTTTGGTACAATTGGTCCTCAAGCTTTCAACAAGTTCTGAGGTTGGCCCTGGTCAGCCTATTGAATTGCAAGATGGATAACTTTGTGTGCCTTATCGGGCTTCTGTGCAGCTCTTTTGTTGCGATCAATAGAGCAACAAACCGTCGTTTTCCATTTTGTGCCCTGGGTGATGTCCGACAGCCCTCAGTTCAAGTTGGCAATGCTTTGACTAGCCGGTTTCTTGGATTCAAGGGGTTCGATCATTGGTGGAAATCAGTTGGACGCGCTGGACCCATACCCATGCCATCCAATACCTGCAACCATCCTGTACCTGCACAACCCTGCAAGGCTCCCTCATTAGTAATGTTTCTAGGTGAACCCCTAGTTTACGAATTCCTTTTGGAGTGTAGTTTGCATTGTGCCCTTGTTCTTCTAGGCTGACCCTCACAAAGGAGCATGTTTGTCTCAGCAAATGTTTGCCTCCTGTTTGGTGATCACACCACCTAGGCATGTTGACAAATCAACAATTGCAAAGTAGTGCGATCTAACTTGCACACCACCTACATCAACCTTGTGACACTTTGGGGTGGCACGGGGAGGCTGCATCTGGGGAAAGCAATGTTGATCCCTCTTTAGTTCTTCCTGATGTGTTTTGTTTGCTACATGCTGCCATCCCTAATATGTGTCCAAGACTGCACCCGGTGGTGTTTGCTATGTAGTCGACTATGTAGTCAATCTAATGGCACCTTATTTGCATTTGTCAGTCACTGAGGACATGCCTCCTGATTTGGGTGGTGCAGGCCATGGGGGGTTGCTTCATATTGGAGCACCCTCGAAGCTCGATGGTTACGTGGCATCCACGAATCAGGGAGGTGATGAAGAGTCTCCCCAAGGCATGACCCAAATCTGTGGAGACCGAACATTGGCATGTGCATGTGTTCATGGAAGAAGGTACTTGAAGGTACAAAAAATAATTGGAGGCATATTAGGGCCTACACCTCTGCCAGGTGTTCATTGCTTTCTGGTGGATGTATCATTTTGGAGGACTTACCGCAAAGCGCCACTTGTGCTTATCCAATGCTGAAACGGTTGGAGAACTTGACTTGGGGAAAATATGCCAAAAGGCCCGAAAGAAGCTTGCTCAATCTGCAGCAAAATCAGCTACCTCATCCGGATCCAAGAGTGGGAAAAGGGCCTTTACTGGTTCCCAATTCCTGAAGTCTACAGGGTGAAGGACTTAGATTGGGAATGTTGATATGATCAGTAGCCACAGGCCTTGCAGACCCAGCCCATTGCCTCCTCTGCTCAGGACCTATCCTCCACGCTTTGGCAAGTTCCTGCAGAAGTTGCACCCACGGTTGCTCAAAGAGCGTGTTGTTGAGTGGGACCTACCTAGTGAGGTATTGAACCAGGATCTGCATTCTTTTTTTGCATCCCAAGATTGGGGAGACCTATGGACAGATGCAAATATGGTGTCTGTTCTTTGCTACCTTAGGGGGTCCATCCACCTACATCTTGGGCAGGGCAGGGATTTGTTCCCTGAAGAACTGTGAACATGTCCACCCTGCCACTAATTCGATCAAAATTCAGTGGAGAGTTTTGAACTCTCACCTCATGTTTGGAAGCCTTCAGGACGGATAGCAAAAAGGCTTTCATTGATGGACCATCATGGAATGTAACTAATAGAAACAACTGGGATACTCATGCATTTGGTCTTTGAAGCCATCCTTTTACAGCATTTTGGGACAATTTCACCCGTACACCAAAATACGCACAAAATACGTGCAAAGTACGTACAAAATACGTATTCTGGCCGTACCCCAACCCGTACCCCGTACAAGGGACGTAAAAATCCGTATAAAGGACGTATTTATGCGTACAAAAACCCGTACAGAATACGTATTTTCAAGCTTTTTTTGACTATCATGTTTTTGACTGATTTGCTACCAATCTTCATGATTATAGTCCATTTTCAAGATTGCTTCACATGTAAAGTGCTGGAACACATGTCATCCGCAGCAGTGTGACCCAATCGCCTGTGTAGCAGTTGCTTGCCCTGCCTGGAAATGCCGTCCACGAGGGGGAAACAGATCAAAACCAAGCTGCCCTCCAAAGTTCATAGTTGTTCTGAGCTGGAAAAGGGGAGCAAGGCCATCTTAGAGGTCAAGAAGGAGGCTGAGAGAGAGGAAGAACTAAAAGAACGGATCAAGGATCGGGTTCCACATACAGTTGCTTTAGTCTGATAAATTGTGTTTTGTACCTACCTCAGCCCTAGTTTCCTCCTGCAAGGAGTATGAACTCCAAATCAAGCGCTTGAAGGAGATCGGTGCTGCTTCAGCTTCTGCCTCGAAGGACCCTTACCTGTTTGGCTCGTAGGTAAATCCACATCCCAAGAAACACGTTACTTTGAACCATTGACACATGTTCTAGTTCTTAAAGGGTTGCCCACATGTGAGGATCCACCCATCGCTGAGGCAGAAACACTTCCGGTCACTTGCATGCATTCATGATATACAGTGTGCAGCCACTTTGCATTATGCAGGGAATTGCAATTGTTTTCACCTTAGGCTACAGAGGAGGAGTTATCAGCTTCAAAGGGTGCAAGGAAGACTACTGCAAAAGCTGCTAAGTCGAAGCCCAAACCAAAGTCTACCCCCAAACCACCCACCAAGAAGCCGGATGAACCAACTGCTGCAGAACCTGACCCACCTGTTGACGCTCGAAAGGGGAAAAAACAACCCAGAACCTCAGGAGCATGCACTACTGTCACACCACCTGTGAGGTCGCCCCCCACAAAAGCGCAGAAAGGTCGTGCAGATGGCGGGCCTAAACCCCGTCGTCTGAATTTCAAGTCGCCAGACCCTGACCCTGCCCGCCAACTCGATGCTCTGAAGGAGGCTGGACAGGGATGCTAGGTCCTAGATGGATTCATGTTGGAGCTTGATTTCTTACCTAGACTGATTGGTAATGTGTGACTTGTTGCAGGACAATGCCAAATTGAAATCGGATATGGAGAAGTTGCTTCGGGCTATGGAGAAGGGAACCAAACCTGCAGTCAAGGCTAAAGGTAAAGCCTGCCCATCCAAGCCTCATTCTTCCGCTGAGCCGGAGGAGAGCGATGCTGACGGTGAAGATCGTGAGGAGCCTGATGCCGAGGTCTCTGCTTCCGGTTCCGGAGGGGAAGAGGATTTGAGCGAGGCTGCAAAGAGAGCCCGCTTGAGGAGGCTCTGTGAGAAGAAGGGTTCTGGGAAGTTGAACGTTCCGGAGGAGGTGCATCTTCTTTGGAAAAAAGGAGGTCACACGAGGGACCAGTTGGCAGAACTCCTCGAAGAATCCGGATTTGAAAAGGACCCTTCTGTTATTTTTAGGGTGCAGCTCAGGTAATGTCAGGTTATATGACCGATCCCTGGTATCCCCACAATCTCACTTCCACCCAGGACGTCTTTGTCAAGAAGGTGCTTCGCAGCAAGGAGAAAGTTGCCCGGAGATCCGCCAAAACCCGGAGGGGGTGGTATACAGTCGAAGGCATGAAGAACACATTGCAATGGTCAAAGCAACTTGAACTCAATTCGATGTTCATAATGAGTCAACACTGCATTCCTCTATATTGCTCTATTTGGCTGGGCATCTTTACATGTTGGAAACCTAGTTGCCCTTCTTGAGGCCATACATAGCTGGTGTCGTTCGTTACTGTGAGAAGTCTGGCAACGAGCGCCTTGTGAAGAAACTTACCTGCATGCATAAACATGCCAACTCGGTATCAACATGAGTTTTGTAGCTTTGGAGTTCCATCTTCAGGAAGGATAGGTACAACAAGAAGATCAAGAAATACTACGTTGAAGTGGATGAAGAAGATGAAGACCTGGACTACACAGAAGAGCGTGAGAGGGAGGAAGAAGAGTTTAATGTTGGGGGCTAATCTTTTACATGTTTGGGCACCTTAATATCAAACATACAGTATCTACAGTACTCTGTGTGAATGCCTACAGTGTTGATTATGGTTGAGGCCCGAGACCTCAAAGGCTTCACGAAGGAATTGAGGGCTGGGCGTTCCAAAGACATTCCTGGGGCTGCTGCACCTGAGAGCGAACCGGACAGTTCGGACGACGAGAAGGGTGGTGGTGGTTCTGGAGCGAAAGCCGCGTATGGCCCTGCCCAGGAGATACATGTGAAAGATAGTGAAAGCCTGTTCGTTCTTTAAGTTCTTTATGACCTACTAGCCTTCCCTATGTAATTGATGTCCTTTTCTTTCAGGAGTATCTCAACTTGAAGAAGCTGGGTGATTCACTTTTGACCAGGTCATCCAAGATTACCGAGTTGATCGGGTCACTTGAGACATCTGTGGGTGAAAAGCCTGATTCTACTGACGCCAAACGGGCCAAGCAGTCTGGGACTTGAACCAGTCGCACATTTCCTTGTAAGCCCTGCACCTTCTCAAAGCGGGTGCCACCAGCACGGAGGCGTTCTGACTCAGGTCGATCGAGAGCCTGGAGAAAGCTATCGAGATTCTGAATGACCAGTACGAAGCTGTGGAGAGCTTGAAGGTTGAAGTGAAACCCATGCGAGACCTGAAGGACAAAAAGAAAGATATACCCTCTGACATCAAAGAGTCTAGCGCTAAGTTGAGAATCAAACATCTTTGACCTACATATCGAAGTTCTATACCCTGCAATGGTTGCACCAAGTATGATGACCAAAGTGGACAACCAGATCAAGGCCACCACCAAAGCGTGCCTTGCTTCCAACCTAAAAAGTATCTGCCTGCTAAGCTGAACTGTGATGGGTCTTTGGGTATTTGAGGTGCAGCAGGGTGACCACTGCGGAGACAACTGGAAAGAGTCTTGATTCAAAAACAACACAATATGGTAATCTGTTGTTTCATTTCCGAATTGAAGGTTTTTGAGTGGAAATGCGCTGCTTTTGAGGAACCTGCAGAAGCAACTGAACAAAGCCAAGTAGAGATCAATTTTGTGGGTGGCCCTGACCAAATGACATTTAGTAACAAGACAAACATGTTATGCTTGAAGCATGTGAGATGAAACGTTGTGTCTGGTGTGTTTGGTCACGCAGGGCTTGAAGAGGAGATGTCATGTCATCTCTAGGGGTTTTCCCGCTCAGGGGTTGATCATGTGCAAAGCACGTGGATTTAGAACAAAACGAGTGGCAAGGGATCAACAAAACAAAACGTGCGCCTTCGCGCGGTCAAGCTTGTTTTGTTTAGATGTTTGAGTGGTGTTCATCTCTATGCATTGCCAGGCAATGCAGATGATGGCTCTGCTCTTTACCATTGTGCCCGGATGATTGGACGTGGGGTAGGGGACCCCAGAGTGAAAAATGCAGAAGTGGTGACCCAATGTGTCCTCCGCTCTTGCAGCTCATGCTGCTCAGACCTTTAGCTCATGTTAATTAATGCTGCATGAACAATTAATCAACCTTGTTGCCAACATTTACAAGCCATAATTCTTACTATATACAACATGCCAATACCACTTTCCGCAACATCCATCAACTGAGCTAGCCATGGATGAAATTCTACTGGAGTTGATGACCTTCCCGCCGAGTGAAAGCGAGAAGCGAAAGGGTGATACCATCCTGGATAGCTGCCCGAAAATGCCCAGGCTCCTAGGCTTTTTTTAGCGTATTCCAAGATTGCTCTTACCAAACCTCCCCTGTGTTGAGTCCAACTAAGGCTAGAAAACACAGATGATTTTCACCCTGAATTTCATGACTACTTCTTTCGGGAACCTGTGCCCAGCCAATCTCCAGTGGCCTCTTCCGATGAAGCAGCAGCAACATGGCCGGATTTGTTTGCACGTGTTTATTGCTTCTTTGTTACTGTATAGTGGGGATGTGCCTATATCCTGAGGATCTCAAACTGAAAAGACAAGCCCTCACTGAGCTAGGGTTGAAGTTTCAAAGCGGAAATTTTACATGGGATTCAGTCCGAACCCATGGTATTTTGTTTAGATGCTTGGAGGTGGGCAAACACAAGCCTACCTGTGGGAGGATCCTCGCCCATTGCAAGGATCAAATATCCCGAATGAGGGAAGTGCTTGGAGTGCGCATCTGCATTTTCAAGATTGGAGTATCTGCCAATCCAGTGTCCAGGTTTTTGTCGTATGCAGACAAGGGGTTTACCTGCATGCGAGTAATCAATATGTCCACAAGTGTGGATCTCACGCATATGTTGGAGGCTGCCCTGATTGGTGAATTTGGGAAACATGTAGGCTGTAGAAACAAAGAGGGATCTGGTGGGGAAGGCGCCCTCAATCGTGAGGAGCTTGCAGAATCTCACTTTTATGTTTATGTTGTTGGGGGCAGGGCAGACCAACCACGTTGGGTAGGGTAGTTCTGAAATTTTCTCAACCAATTGCTTGGTTGGGTCTTTATGTGTGTCGTGCAATTGGTAAAGAAGCGGCAAAAAAAGCTATATTTTGCGCAGCTGTGAGATTGTGCATAGGTGTCGAGCCATTGAATTCTTGCTTGCCCCAATTGGCGTAGTTGAGTCGTTGGGTGACTGTGCATGGTGATGTGTTTGACATTGATTTCTCAACCTGTGCAAGCTTGAACATGCTGAACAATGTACTTGTACAGCATGGTCCAACTTGCACAGGCAAGATCTTGATGTGAATGCCGTGCCCAGGCCCCATGCTGCGATGTCGTAGAGTTTGCCAAGCAGCAGGTGCAAACCAACCCTGAGGCTCCCAGAGTCTTGCGGGAATTTGCAAAGGTATCGATCAACGATGCAGAGAAAGGATGTCACCGCATCTTTGCAAAGTACAACTACATCCCTCCTGTTGAGATTGAGTATACCACCTTGGGGGAAGGATATTTGAAGGACTTTCCCTTTATCCGACTGAGTAGCTGGGTCCAGTGGCTGCTTGATTCGGGGAGGCTTTGGAGGCACTTTGTCGGCGCGAGATCGTGGGAGTCCATGCAGGAGATATTGAACACCTTTTGGGGCCGCTACAATTCTTTGTACCCAGAGCACCAGGTCTTTCAAATGGGGCTTGACTTGCGGTGTGTCATACCATTCTTCTCCCATCAAGATGAGGGGCGCACCAAGAAGCATGATGGGATCTGGATCTTTGCTTCTCATGGTTGCATTGGTCGGGGTACGACGGCATTCCTCAAGAAGGGGAAGGACAGGATTCCCCTGCATCGTTCAGGTTTGGGGATGAATTTCATAGGGTGCACGTGGAGCTCTCATTTTCTGTTCTGTACGATGGTTCGTACCGTTTTGGAAGAGAACCCAGAGGCGATGAACGACCTCATGAAGCTTTATGCCACTGATGTTGCTTTGCTTGCCCACTCAGGGATTGTCTCTGAGGATGGGACCAAAAAGGTGCACCTGATCCACTTGGGCAGTCTTGGGGATTGCCCCGCATTGGCAAAAATTGCCGGGTTCAGTAGGACGTTTTCACACGTGCCTCGAGCGGTGGCAAGTGCCAGGGCTTGCTCAGGCATTTGTCCGTGGTGCTTGGCAGGTCAGGAGGCCAATGCACACCAGCGCGCTTATCCATTCGAAGACTACTCGATGCATCCTTGTTGGCAAGAAACGATAGAACAAATTTTGCCATGGTCTTCAACACCCCCTTGTTGGAAGGCATTCCAGTCAACCCAAGTCGGCTTGCTCATTTCTTTGCAACAGACTTATGGCACAACTTTGGCCTTGGGATGGGAAAGCAGTGGTTGGGCAGTTGCTTTGTGTCATTGATTGAGCGGGGTGACTTTTGGGTCCAAACATCTGTGGAAACAAAGTTTCAATTTCTTACATCGGAGTTCAAGTCCTTTTGCCAGATGAAGCGGTTGAGCCCACACATGACGGAGATTTCTCGGCAGACCATGGGGTGGCCAATGAGCAGCAAGACACCTTGTGGTCAGTGGTCGAAAGGTGCAGTTACCACTCATTTTATGCTGTTTTTGGAGCATTTTTGCTCTGTTCATGCTGCTGACAGCAGTGATGAAGTCATCATGGCAATTGTCCTTTGATCTTCTTCTGGTAACTTTTGTGATGTTTGATAGTGCTGGATTTTATTGCTTTGGTATGAGGGTCAAGGGCGGGTTGTGTGTTCCTAGAATTTGTTAATCGCTGAGGTTCGGGGAACGAAGGCCATCAATGTGGCTTTGAGCTTCGCTTACCAGGAAGGCTTCTTCATTTTGGCATGTCATGGCAGGAAACTAGCACAGTGGATGATGGTATGGCTCCAATGCTACGCCAAGTGCTCTGAGATTTCGCTGAGGGACAGACTTAATAGATTCCCACTGATGCCCAAAACCCATTATATCCACCATGGGGCCCTTGATATTTTGAACACGGCACAGCGTTCAACTTTTGTAATTAACCCACTGGCCTTTAGCAATCAAATGCAAGAGGACTTCGTGGGACGTGCAGCCAGGATCAGTCGAAGAGTGGCTGTTCCTTTGGTACATTTGCGGGTGATTCAGCGCTGTCTTATTTGTGCTTACCAATCCATTTTAGATGCGGATCATGACCGCAGGGGTCTGAGATAGAACATTTAAGGTTCTGAAGCCTGTTGCCTTTGTTTGCTTGTGATGCTTTTCACACAACCAGCTAAGCTTGTGACCGGTTTTGTACTGTTGAGTGTGAAACATGTATAAGCTGGTGCAAGTGCATGTGGTCCTATAGCTTCTGAACCTGTGAATGTTGGGGTGTTAACTGTCTATCCGTTGGGTTCCCATGCTGAGCATGGATCAAACCACAGCAGCAAGGCCGAGCGAGATGAAAACACTTGTGTTTGGCTGCTAGTGTCAGATCCTGTGTAAACCACAGGGGCGTACTTTTGCAAGAGGGGCGTATTTTTTCTAGAGGGGCGTATTCTGAATGAAACATGATCCTGATGCGTTTTTGTAGCCCTCCCAGGGCCCAGGTATATATATATAAGGGCCGTCCGTTATTGCCAGTGAAGGAATTTAGATGAAATGTTAAAACAAACATGTCGCGAAAGGGAAACTGCAGTCCGCGAAAGGCCGGCGATAGGACGGCGAGAGACATGTGCCAACCTAGACTTATAACATACAATGTGCATAATACATTACAATATATATATATATATGACATCCTTTTTCCCGAACAGAAACATGGATTTTCGCGAAAGGGCCGCGAAAGGCCGGGGGTAGGCCCGCGAAAGGTCGCATTGCCTGGAAGGGCATCTGCCCATCCACGGCCTTGAAACCTTTATTTCAATTATGAATTGACAAAGGGCAGCCTGCTTCTCAGCGCACTAAAAGGGATTTAGATATCCCAAACATTGTGAACTCATTGAAACAACACTATTTGCAGGACTCTCCACCTTGAGTTTCAAAGGAGCTTCCAGTGACAGGCATCAGTGCTGTGTGGATGGGAAAACAAGGTAATGGGGCATTCTACCCGGCCTGGGGCTTAGCGTGCTGCTTGTGAGTACAGTGCCACTGAGGGTTTCTTGTGCTGTGATTTTTTGCGAGTCTGTGACTTACAGTTCTTTCTTAAAGAAGTGGAACAGGACCACTTAGAAGACCATGTCTTGTTTCGTATGTGCCCTTTCAATCCCTTTCATGCCGTTTCCTATTGACCTGCCACGTAACACACAGGCTTCAGGAGAGCAGTAGCTACAACACATGACTTGACCTGTTAAATTGAACATATCCTACACCACCAAGCTTCACCCCGTTCAGTGGCCAATGACCGGTTCCGAAAGCCGCCGAAACCGGTCGACTCCGGAGGCCAAGACAACGCATCGGGTCCCCTTCGTCACTTTGCCCTGGAACTTGTGGTCGGTGCTCAGCTCAGAGACCACTGGAGACCGTTCAGAGACCACATTTTAGGCTCTGAAAAACAGGCATCTCAAGTCAGTTGAACAAAAGCCAGGGAAGAGTTTCTGATACAGTTTTGCCTTTGGGCTGTTGTTGGTGGAACTCAGGTTAAGAGTTCTTTTCAGAGCTTCTAATTGTAAGATGGGTGGCTTTTGTTGAATATTCTGGAAGCTTCACTGCTGGGGATTCAGAGTCCAAACTGCTAGAAACTTGGACTAGGATGGGCGCCCGCAAGATGAAACATAGACAATCCCTGTTTGGCAGGCTGAGCCAGTTCGGTCTCAAGTCTGTCAACATACTATTTGTTTGGAGCGAAGATCCCTCGTCCACGCTTTCTCACAGAGTCCACGGAGAAACCCGTTTTCGTGCAGCCGGGCCTCAGCAAGACATCGCCCTGGCCACCCGGAATCCCTTCTTGGAAGGAGTCACTTGCCTTGATTGGTGACGACTGATGACGGGTATGTTATGACGGGTCATGATGACGGGTCGTGATGATTAAATTTGGAGACGATGACAATCGACTTCTAGTCTTTGATATTCTTTGATGGTCATGTCGTGTTTTCGCTTTTTCTACTCAAGAATTATCCCCAGTCTAGGAGGACATTCACAAAATGTGGGTTCCTTCAGAAACTTCGGCTCGAAACACACCTTGATCCGTGTATGGACCTAAGCACACAGCGACCAGGGTGGACTCATGCAGGGACCACGCGGCGCGTTGGGTCAAAGCCGAAGCTGATGATTTGGGTCACACATCAATTGGATCAAGTATACAGAAGTATACAATGTTTCCTACACGTTCACGAAATCAGCATGAACCTCAAGGTTCCTTCTCATGATATGTCTTCCAATGACAACCTGTCGTGACCCACAATTACAGTACGACCATCCTTCAAAATCCTGCGCCTGCTGAAAGAATGGTACGACCACCGCAGATCAATTCTACATGACTTCTGCGTGGAGCACCCCCCCCTGCTCGCCGGCCATCAAATGCATTTGGCACCGACCCAGGTCTATACGCCAGATGCACCGCTTCCAACGGAACTGGCCCATACATCTCCAATTCCCATAGACTTGAAGCAGCGGCCTCAGTATCCACCCATGGATGGCAGCGGCCGGATGGTGTCGGTGCTGGTGGTTTGATAAGTCTTCGGAACTATAACGTTGCTCTATATGGTTGCTATATGTTGCTTATTGAATCTTATCCTATTGATGTTGTTTGATCTTGTCTATGTTTATTTACGTCCGCTAGCATGCTCGAACATGAGTGTTTAGTGGATTCATCTCAACTATAATCATCAAAGAAGCGTGCCAAAGCGCCAGTTGCAGCGGGGGCGTGTGCTTGATCAGTTTATTCATAGTATGGAACCTACCAAAGCGCAAGAGTTGGGAGACTCCCAAAAGGCCAGGGTAGGTACTCAGCACCTGTAAAGCCATGACCATTAGTTTTCCGAGATGCTTCTTTATAGGTACAATTTATGTGACGCTTGTAGTCTTCATATGTTTTGAACATGCAGTTCTGCTTTTGGGAATACAGGAGATCATTTCAGTGTTTCCACCTAAGGTGTCACCACACCACTGGCCTTCGCGACGATGCCACGGTTTGGATCCCTCCATCGCCGGGTGGACCCCGACCTCAGACCCCTCCGAGGTGGGGCAAAGCGGACGAGCTTCATTTGGACCACTGGGAGCGGTTTCTCAGACCGAAGGACGAGCGCGGTCCAGGCCGAACGAAGGAAGAAGGGAGGATTCCGACCAGGTTGCGGGGGTACCTGGGGAGTGCCAGGCACTTGGTAAAGAACAGCAATCTTCCAAGCAAAACATGATGTACACTCTCATTAATCAATGAGGTGAAGACAAACGATCATGAAGCAGCTTGTATTAGTATCAAGCGATGTCACATGTACCAGTGTTTCCTGATGTCGTGTTTGGAACTTTTTCGGTCAGAGGCTGCTTTGTTTCATACATCATTAGATCATACATCGTGATATAGATTGATATACAGTAGCTGTCCCTAGGGCTCCAACCAATTCCTCAGAAGGTGGTTAGACCCCCCAATCCCACCCCAACCATTTTCTCAGGAGGTGGTTGGAGCCCTATAGGCTGTATAGTTTGCAATCCGGACCATGTTTTCATCACGAACCGCCCCGAACCCCCCTCGGTGCCTCGAGATCTCTGCAGGAGTCCCGAGATGAGCAGGAGCCGAAGAGATTCTGTCGGAGACGACAGGACGAATCGCGAATCAGATCGAGGACTTAGAGCATCTCAAGCCAATTTAGAGCTATATATGGATCAATCATGATCAATCATGGATCAATCATATAGATAAATATGGGTTGACCGTGACATGCTGTGACCTTTGAATAGGGAGATCCCCAATTTCACCTGCTGGGAAGAGGAGGAACATCACTTGCTTATGTTCAAAGGTCTCCCTGGTCTCCGTCTTCATCTTCTACCGCCTTACACAGCTGAGATGGTGCGAAAGGGTGACCCAATTGGTTTTACTGACGGAAAGAGGGCGAACTCCCGCGGAGATCGGGAATTTGGTCTTTCTTGAGACATCAATGTTGTGCGATCAAGCCAAGTTGTAAGGGTACACCTATAATCTAGAGCTAGTTGAACAAGTGTTGAATGCTGGGAAGTGAGATGGAACAACACTCCTACACCCAATAACAATCAATAACTATAATCATAGCTGTTTGGGATCCGGGGGCCTGTTGAACGAGTATGCATTGGACCGGACGCGAAGCTGCCAGGAGCCCGGCACGGTCTCACAGGACGGGCCGGACGGGAGTTCTTGCGTTCAGTCGACCACTGCTACCACTGGAGTGGCTTTGCAAGAATCGTCAAAGGTGTCAGCATCGAATGCTGTTTTTGCCTTTAAACAACCAACAATCAAGCAACACCTGCAAAGGTGCGAAAGTTTGCGGAAGCTCCACAGGAGTGAGCCACGAACGCGCCACAAAGAGATTGGCGTGCTCCACCGCACTCTCCTCGTCGAAGGTTGCTGTCGAGGCAGGTCCATTAGTCAATCGGAATGGGCAAGTTCTCAAGATCTCATGACTGGATATATTAATTATACCTTTTTTTTTCTCTCTCTCTCTCTCTCTTGCACACACACAGACACACACATCGTTCTCCCATGTTCTCACTTACTCTTTGGCGCTCTCTCTCTCTCTCTCTCCCTCTCTCTCTCCCTCCCTCCCTCCCTCCCTCTCCCTCTCCCTCCCTCGCTTTTTGTCTCTCATTGTTTCGTGCGTGTTATTTGTTTACTTGTGTGATCCAAAAAATAAATATATAGCAACTTGAACACCTAATAATTGTTTTGAACATAGCTTTCGCAGACCAACTCGAGGTGTTTTCAAGTGTTTGAAGACCTGGCAAAGATTTTCATTGAATTGATGATGCCAGGCGCAAGGAAACAGCAAGAGTAGATCCTGTACATAGGGAGAGGAGCTAGCTTGGCCTGTGACTCGGCTATCGGAACCAGACTGTAAAGGATTTTCAGGGACAACAAAAAGAGCTACCAAAAGAGCTACCAAGAGACCGTTTTAGTAGCTTGCTAGTGACCAGAAGGGACGGTCGACCACGATGGTGACTGGTTCCATAGCTGATTCACCAGCAGGCACACGGCGCGGCAGCACCTAAGCCACGAGAACGCGACTACGTGAAAAGATGCCGGGCTATTCGAGCTTTGCACAGAATTAGCTTCTCTCGCTCGGGAGGGTTGAACTCCTGGCTTTTGTTCCTAAACAAATCAGTTAGCCTTTTAATTTGTTGCAAATATGTCACCTATACTACCGATTTTGTTTGCAAGGTCCAGGAACATCAAAAACCATGTGCTGTTTGTTTCTTTTTCTTGTCCTTTCTATATGGACTGTGCTTGGCATTTTTGCCCTTTGAGTTTCAGCTTTTGTGCCGATTGGGAGCCGTTGGAGCCAAGCTACACAGAGCAAGATGAGCCACACGGCAGATGTGACATCTTTCCTGATGTACATGTCAAATCTGAAACAGCCAGCAACACCGACATGAAAGTTGCTGCCAGCATTGTTTTTGATTACAGTAGAAACCATAGATCTCAAGATCTCAACAGTTGATATCACCTTTGAAGGCCCCCCCTTCACCCCCACAGAATGAACATCAGAATGCCAGAGTCTTTTCTTAATCTCAGATTCCTCTCCGGAAGCTCACACAGCCTTGTGCCGTTTTCGCAGAGGGGTAAAGTTTTCGGGGGATTTATCTCACAAGTGGAAGAGGCCATTGGAGACGAGCAGCAAACATAGTTTTTTGATATATTTGTTCGAATTATTTTGATGTATAATGCAAAGTTATGACTTCGCACTGAAGTCATTCATCAAGTATGATTAAGATGTAAGTCGATTCACGTTGCCCACGTTGCCGCCAATCCACCCATCCCCATGCCGTTCCACCATGGATCCTCCAGCTCCAAGCGTCGTGCGCTGCGCCTACGTGGTGCCCAACAAGGGCCGGCGCTGCCGTTTCCCTGTGGTGCCGGGCAGTGTATGGTGTGGCGCCCACCGTGAGGAGGGCGGCGAGCAGAGTCAGAAGCGGATCCCTTGCCCATTGGACCCGAACCATACCGTCTTCCAGCACCGACTGAAGCAGCATTTGAAGCTGAGATCAATTTGATTTGGTGTTGGCTTTGGTATTGAACTGCAAATTCATATCACGACTTCACTTCTTGTAGGATTTTGTAGGTGTGGGGGACTGTAGGTGCAACTTACCTGTAGTATGTTGTGATACATGTTCGGCTGGAGTTTTGTGAGCCCTTTGAAGTGCAGAACAAGGAAGGTTTGCACCAAAGTTCGAGATCAACACGTGATTGAGAAGCAGCCCTTCTACAAGCAAGGTGTGAATCTGGGAAGCACCTCCATTCCAAGCAACTGAACTGGCTTCTCCAGACCCCTCAAAAGTTGAGGCACAAGAACGGCGGACAAATCATCATTGCAGGTCCTAGGTCCAGTTTGTGCCGTTGTGCCTCGAGTTTTTGAGGGCGATCGGTTTTTCCAGTGTTTCCCTTTTTTT